ACTCAGGTCTCACAGTGGTCAGACCGTTATTTCCTGTGGAGCTGAAAAACTGTTGCGAGTGATTCCACTTGGCAGGTTCCCACAAAGCATCCTGTACAAGCTTATCATTCGGTCCCCCCCTCCTCCGATCCGACCTGCGCCAAAAACTATCCAACTCTCAGTGTGCCCCCTCCCCTCCTCAAGATCACTTCGGAAATATGAGAATGAAAAGTGAGGAAAACCCCTCCTACTGCTAGCAATACTAGTACTGCAACAATAGAACGGCATAGTTCCAAACTTTTGTATACCGATCATTTAACTTCTGGGTCACCCTAATCTTTTCCATACCCTTTCAAATCCCAAAAGGTCTCCCACCGTGTCCGCAATGCAGCGACGACCACCAGACGACGGCTGTGTCGTGATCGCACGTGTTTGCCGCCTTCCCGGCTGCGTTTGTATTGTGGACAATACGAGTCGGGGAAATCGCTCGCGGATATTGTGCACCACACACGCGTGGAACTCCTCCGTCAGAGGGAGAGAGAAATTTCAGGAAACACGGGGACAAAGGGCGGGAATCCGTCAGAGTAAGGTGGATTTTATTAAAATTTGATAAAAAGGAAGGTGCAGTTCGGCTTGGTGGGGGCATTTTGCTGGTTCCCATCGGTCACTCCCAATGCCTCCTATGGAAACCTCAAATTCCTAAAAAGCTATGCAATAGCAGGAACTCTATTTACACCTGACAAGGATCTACAGCTCTCATGACGTGTAATCTGAAAGGAGCTAGCAAATGTGCAGAATGTCCCTCCCTAGCCGAACAGCGCCAAAAATTAGATGTACGGTTCAACACATTATATCCCACTGATCAGTTCGATAACACTTACCCTTGGGGCTTATAAAGAGCTACGAAGATAACTTTATCAATTAACTTTTGTATCACTACCAACAATCCCGCAAGAGTGAGAATAAAAAAAGCAACCCGGATAGCACGGATAGTGGAGTGGCTAGAAGTGTTGGCTCTTGTCTGGACTCTGAGTCGCGAGTTCTAAGCGAGGCAAAATCACGCCTTACAAGAATAGCAAAATGGTGTCGATACCAGCGTCCAGCCCAGGTTAACCGGCTACTGAAGAATCTCGTCACAGTAAAAATCGTCAAAAATCGTAAAAGTTTAACCCGTTCAGTATTATATTATAAGTTTATTTATTATAAAATTCCCATAAAATTCTGTAGTTTAATGTGCTAAACACCAACAACTTTTTTACTATTCGATGCGACTTTTTGGAGTATTGTAAAAAGGTCCTGAAGAAAAGGAAGAACTGTAACTCCTTTATAGAGAAACTATGTAAGTAAAACTAATCACAGGTCAAAGAGTACAACGGCTCCCAAGGGCGGGGCCATCACTGTGAGTAAGGCTGGCTAACGCAGACCGTTTCTTACACATTTGGCCTGCTAGTACAGACCCTTATTTCGCTTACAAGTCTTACTTAATCTAAAGTCTACCGATTGTGTAACACGACGGCTTAGCTCTGTGAAGGCTAAAAAGAACTATGAATTCCCAATGCCCCCCCAGGATAGGAGCTTCTTCAACCCGGAAAGCCCCACCAGTACAGGGAGGACCCCGTGGGAAAACACCCTGATGCCCTCAAGCACAGCCTAGAAATGCGCAAAAAAATTGTGTCGTCACAACAAACAGTGAACCCAAAAGCGCGATTTTCCACTCCTTGTGGATGGAAGTGCGGTTTTTCCATGAGCAACTCCATATATAGACTGAGTATAGAGCTTTCAGCGTAAAAGCCACCACTTTTTTGGGGTGCGCCACGCATCTCTACTGCCGCCCATTGAGATAAGGGCAGTGAGCAAGTGGCTTTGGGGGGGGGGGGGGGGGAGCCATTCCAAACCTCCACCATCGTAGGAAATGGCTGTCGATACAGCCCAGGTTAACCGGCTACTGAAGAATCTCGTCACAGTAAAAATCGTCAGAAATCGTAGAAGTTTAACCCGTTCAGTATTATATTATAAGTTTATTTATTATAAAATTCCCATAAAATTCTGTAGTTCAATGTGCTAAACACCAACAACTTTTTCACTATTCGATGCGACTTTTTGGAGTATTGTAAAAAGGTCCTGAAGAAAAGGGAAGAACTGTAACTCCTCTATTATAGAAAGCTATGTAAATAAAAACTAATCACAGGTCAAGAGTACTCGCTCCCAAGTGGGCGGGCACATCATTGTGAGTAAGCTGCTAGCAAGACCATTTCTTCACATTTGGCTCTAGTACAACCCTTTCTCCTTTTAAAGTCTTACTTCACCGATGGTGTAAACGAGGCTTAGCTCTGTGAAGCTAACCAAGAACTATGAATTCCCAGTCCCCACTGAATAGGAGCTTCTTGAACCCTGAAAGCCCCATCTGTACAGGAAGGACCCCGTGGGAAAACACCTTGATGCCCTATAAAGCACAGCCTAAAAAATGCGCAAAAATTGCGCGTCAACAGAGCAGCGAACCCACAAGCGACGACTTTCCACCCCTTGTGGATGGGAAGTGCGGTTTTTCCATGAGCAACTCCATATATAGACTGAGTATAGAGCTTTCAGCGTAAAAGCCACCACTTTTTGGGGTGCGCCACGCATTCTACGCCATTGGAGATAGCAGTAGCAGTGGCTTGGGGGAGCACCAAATGCTACTCATCTTAGCTTCTACAGCCCATCTTGTGGAGACCCGTGATTTCCTGGGACTAAAATGGCTTACTCGCATCACTTGCACTAGCTTTACAGGAAATTAGGTGCTCACTGCGATGACATGTACTAAGAAAAGGAACTAGCGATAGCGAAAAATGCCCCCTTTGAGCCGAACAGCGCCATTTTCCTTCCCGGATAAGCAAGGAACCAACAAAGAAATCTCGAGTGATGAAGGCTCAGTCAACTTGGACCACTTGGACGAGAGCATATTCAGGATTTGACCCTCTGTACTGTGCCCTTTGACCTCCAGCGAAGTTTATTGCTGACAAACGGGAGATTTTTTTGAAGTCCCAAGTTCAGGTCAGACGTCGAAACAAGAATAATTGGTTCTCGACTCAAGCGGACTTCTAAAATTTCACCAAAAAAACCCGAGCACCTGTAGAACTACACACGGCGCTACAAATAAATCAAAAACACCATTGAATAGAAATACCTAGTCCTAATTATTCCATGTCCGCTCCCGCTGACTCATAAATCACTTTCAAGTTTGCTCCGCGCCAGTACGGTGCCTGTTTCTGGAATTGTACGGGTATTTCCGGCCCGAGAACCGGTCGATTCAGAGGTTCGTCGTTATGTTTTCAACAACGAGCTCCTCTGTCTGGCACAACGACACCCTTCGGTCGGCGATCGGTCAGCGTTTTTCCTCCCAGCAACTGAGGCGGCTCTGTTGAGGACATTCGAGCAGGACATGATGTGAAATACGAGTCCTCGTTGAGTTTAGTCCGGAAACATAAGGGAAACTAAATAGAGGTTCACATTTCTGGGGATGGAGAACATTACCGTAAATATTGAGCACAACTGTGCTAATTCAAAATCATATTTGGTGCAGTTTGGCTGAAGGAGAGGGGCATTTTGCACTTGCACTAGGCTCCTGCTAGTGCATTACATAGCTTTACAAGGTTTCACAAGTTTACACGAGCATCGGCAAAGATCGACAAGAACTAACAAAATGCCCCCACCAAGCCGAACTGCGCGTAATATTTGAATGTAAATCTAATAGTACAATTTTCAGACACGCGTCTTCTCACCCCATGGCTCTGTTCACCGCTTCTGCCTTGGCCGGCACGATGCGGTGATCTTCCCACGCCGATTCCGATAACGCCTTCTAATATGCAACACCCGTCCTTGTTATTGACGACAGGTAAGGTTTTCTACAATAAAAATTGCATAAAGTAAGAGTACACAACTACTCCCTACCCCTGGTACCCTATTCTTTCGATTTTGATCTAGTGGAGTAGATATAGTAAATAAAGTTCCCCCCTAGCCAGTTTGGTACCCGGAAAGCAAACATCATATCCGTTTGGTGACGAAATTTTGACGCTAGGGCTATACATAGATGTCCGCGTCCAAACAGAACCATGGTGCCTACGCCTGGATAGGGGCAAAGTCATTTTCGCGTCATATGAGTGCGGCACTTGTGAGGTCAAAGTTCCAGGCAAGGAATTCTAATCAACTTCTTTCTCCCATGGCAAACATCAAAAAACTCGAGTCAAAAAGTTAAGCGTCCCAAAAAGTAGAAGACAGTAAAGAATAAAGAGGGCCAGTCATTTTGGTAGTCGTATGCGAGGCTTCTGAAGAAAATCGAGATGATTTTTCAGGGGATTAAAAATGGAAAAAAAGAGAAAAAAGGAAAAGAACTGACGGCAACATGTTTTCCTCAAAGGGCCAGCTAAGGAGAGTGACCAGCAGGACACGTTGTATGTATGTTAAGCATCCACAGCCAGAAGGGGTCGTATTTGGTCGCTGGAGAGGGGGGGGGTAAAATTGCCTTTGAAAAAATGTTTTTGGTTGTTGATCTTTCGGTTTTGGGTTCTATGCGGTTTACGTGCGCTTTACCAGCACTTCCCGCCCCCCCCCCCCCACCTATAAGACGGCAGTTTTTCGGGGGAAAAGTGTAGAGATTTCCGAGAAAAGAGCTCTCCAAAGTGATAGGAAGCTGGAAAATTGAGGGGTATTGTAAGTAGAAAGGAGGATGCAAGGGGGGGGGAGGAGATTGTCGTATTCTGCAAGAATTTCCTCTAGCACATGCCCCCGTGACAAGTTAGGACCACCAATTCATCACTCCAAAGTAGCTCAGCACGGTAGCCTTTCCACCATTTCTTTACAAAACTGCAAAATCGTTTTTCCTTACAGCATGCGGTTCGTTAGTTGGAGCGTCTTCAGCAACAACGGCAGGTTCTTGTGGTGTCTTCCAGAAGGAAAATCTTCCGTCCACAATGCCAAACCAATGTAAATCAGCTTTCTTTCCCTTGCCCTACATGTTGGAATCACGACGATATAGCGAGCCAGCACCGCCACCGGCTCATTTCCTATCACAGCGCCGACGAAGCAAAGAAGGTGCGTGCCTGTTCCCTTTTCCTCCCTCGTCAACTCAATAAATCACTCTGCGAAAAGTATCAGAATCTTCGGAGGTGAGCGTGCAATCTTCCCTAAGAGCTGCTATTTCAGTTTCTGGACAAGTCACATACTTGTGGGAATTTCTGCTACGTCTACTTCAAGACAAGGAATACTGTCCAAAGTTTATTAAATGGATCGATCAATCCAAGGTGAGTGAACCAGCGCAGTTTTGAAAATTTAATCTTTCACGGTAAGGAGTGCCTTTTGCTGGGGTTCCTGATTTCCTAGTAGATTTTTCAAGATATTACGCATTAGAATAGCTCGAGTGCTAGCACTGAATTGATCGATAATATTACTTCACTTGAGGAAATAAGTTCAACACGTGGTTCCACGAACATCTTCCTACTGCTTGTACTATAACTCTGTATTTTTCAGGGCGTTTTCAAGCTGGTCGACTCGAAAGCAGTCTCACGACTCTGGGGTATGCATAAGAACAAACCTGGGATGAACTATGAAACAATGGGAGAGCTTTACGGTAGGTACTGTTCTAGCTGAAATTCAACTTCACTTCACTGCCACTTACTAAACACTCAAACCAGTCTATGAGGCTTATTTCAACTACAATACTTAGTCGGAACCTACTTCAAGTTAGGCAGAGTTAAATTTGCCTCTTTGTGCCTCGCGAAGGGCACGTCTGTAGCGGCGAGGCTTAGCCATGCCAATGCTACCAGAGCCATGCATGCTGTCCAAGTGGGAGAAGACAGTGACAACGAAGTAGTGTTTCTTTTTGTACGCTTTTTGCGCTCAAAGCCCTCTCCAGTTGAGGTTAGCAATTACTGCTCAGTCTGCTGTTGAAGCCCTCTTCATTGAGACAGCGTGATATGCTCGCAACACAACGTAATCACTATCAGAACATGTTACCCTGTAGCTGCACATTTCGAGAAACCAGCATGAGTGGAACATGGAACGGCTAACCCACAAGGTTGCTCTCTAGCGCCGCCCACGTAATCAGTGCGAAACGAACTGCCTAATTCATTTACCTGTATGTCTTCGAAGAAAATTTTGCAAAGCTCAGAAAACGAAGAATTCCAAATCACCCGCAGCACTTGATCTTATAGACATCACACCTTACAGACGCCTATCAATTTCCTTTTGATGTTTCATGGTCAGTGAATAAAAAATTTGCGATATTGAGTCGGGAGAAAAAACAATTTGGGAAATAGAAGAATGAGCGTCCTATGTCCCACCCCCCATAAATCTTTGAATTTTGTGAGGTCTAGGTAGAAGAAGAGCTTCTTCTCGTTGATCAACTTATCAATGTGTCTTGTCTTGTCCCCCATTTTATTTAATATATACACATTTGACTTGGCAGCTTCAATCCAAAATCTAGGTGTAGGGATAAAAATGTTTGCGGACGACTTAAAGATCTATAGTGTCGTGGGGGGATTCGCTCCTGGAATCTTCTAGCTCCAGAAGCAATAGATGCTATCCGGTGACTGTCAATACCAACAGGCTTCCCTTTAATTCTGGCAAAACTAAAGTCCTTCATTTGGGAGGATCCAATCCAGGCTCATCATATTACATCAATGAAGAGGCTCTTGAGGTGTCGAAACCATAAGAGACTTAGGTTTTGTTGTAGATTCGAAACTGACTTTCGAAGAGCACCTGACGGACCTAGTGAATGAGGCAGAACAAAGGGTCCTTTTTGCTTTTCAGAATTCATTCAGTCCGAACCGACATATCTTGCTGCATACAGGCTTACAAAATTTAACGTCGCGATCTATCCTACGAACAGGTACATGTGTCTATTTCCCTGCCACAAGAAAGATTTATGGACGAGAATTGGAGAAGATACACATATTACTTCACCAGGAAATTGTTTATTAGAGCTCTCGGTTTCACTTACAAAAGCATCCCTCGGGGCCTAGTAAGAAATAAAATGCTCAATTTGGATCCAATACATTTAAGATTTTGGCGAAATAACTCATTATCTTCGCAGTGTTAAATAGTGTTGTCATTGGTTTCAGTTGATGATTTTGTTGTGTTTCTTATCTTAGTTTTGAATTCACATGTCGTTGAGCATGTAATAAATTAATTAATGGAAATCGCCAAGCAAACAAGTAAAGTATTGGTGGAAAGGCACTAGGCTATATCTCGTTGCGCGGAGGCCAGTCTTGACAAGCGCTCATTCCACCAATGATGCATGTAATGCTACCCCTCCACCTTGCTATCACACCTACTGCCTTTAATTCAGCCTCCCTCTTGGGCGAATGTGCAAAGACCACATGGTTATTGCGCTAAAAAGCAATCACATAACCCTACGAAATGGGCTCAACATGACTGGACTGCTTTTCTGAACTTTTTTAGACCGACCGGGGTTCTTTGGTCCATAATTGTTCATGGACGTATGCCCACGAGCTGAGAAGGCAGACTAGCTACCACTATTGCAAAGTTTGTATGCTCTTTTATGACGTATTCAGTTTTCCCACCAAAAAAATGTAAAAAAAAGTGAGAAAGAACAAGGAAAGGAAAAAATGTGACGAAAAAGAAAAAAATGCATGCATGAGAACTGTTGGTGGTACTTCAGGTACTATTATCAGCGTGGCATCCTTCAAAAAGTCGACGGCCAACGCCTTGTCTATCAATTCGTCGACGTGCCCAAGGAAGCACTACAGGCACGTTTCAGCTCTTATTTAGAACCCACCTCGGGCTAATTGTATTCAACAGTACTACTGCAGGACTCACCGTTCGATTCGGGCACCGATTCAGCTGGGTCGGAAGCCTTTGAGGATCCTGACAGCCCAACAGCGCTCAGCGAAGAAATCCATATCAACTCACCCACCAACACGACCACTCTACTGAAAGAGGCTAAACTTGAACAAGTCTGAACTCTAGAGAGTCTTCAATCTATACTGTTATTCGCATTACTGTTGTATTTTACTACTGCTGTTATCAATCCTCAAAACGAGGTGAACCACCTGTATACCCTATTTTTAGAGACCAAAACGGTCAGAAGAGGTTTTACAGAGCCTTTGGAAGTTTAGCGCAATAATTCTTTTCCGTTTGTACTGCTCTTGAACGGAACGCCTTACCAACAGGCGCTAGCGTCACCTCTCATTTTGTCGAAGCAGGTTGTCACATCCACGTTGCGGCGACGCGGCGTTGCCAGCGACATCGCGTGCGATGCCCCCACTAGGAGTCAACCGATTTGACGCGCTGCCGTATGTGTAGTCAGCGAGACATGGCGCTTCGCCAGAACGTGGATGTAAGGCCTCTCCCTAGACCTTTTGGGTAAATATAGCGCTAGTAGAGCATCCCTTAACAAGTATTTTTATCGACTGTGATAATAGTGGTCTACCACTTTTTTCTGGATTAGCATGTTTGATCAGTTAACGTAGGCGGAGACGTGAATCCTGCCTTTCCTCACTTATATGTATGAATCGCCCCAAGTGTGTGCGCTTCACCACTCTCGCGACCCCGATCCAGAACCTGCGTGATCATCTGCCAATGGCCCCGTGAACGGAGCAGTCAAAGATCACGTTGTACTCACCTCGACGTCTGCACGGCTTCTCGTATCGCGAAACCCCTGTTTACCCTCAGTGTCACACTATATCGAGTCAACTAGATAGGAAACAGCAATTACTGCTTCGCGCCGTCGCAACGTAGACCTCCCGACCGCCGTCTAGTGAGAGTGTTCTCGCAGAACTCTAATCCCTGGATCTGCTCCGAGAAATGTAACCCGTTACGGGTTGCCCATGGGTTGCCATAAGACCATGCAGCTATGGATAGCTAATAGCCATTCGATAATTGCAGATTGCCCCACTACTGACAACTTTTCGCAGGCAGGATGCATTCAACGGTTCTCGGGATAGTTGGGTTAACGCAGACGTTGCAGAGCTTCGGCAACGACACGCCCGTCGATGAGCGACGAGCATGAATGTGAGCGGCACTACCGCTTGGGGGAGGAATCGAAGATTAGAGAGAGGTGTCCTCTGTATCGCACAGTCTCGTACCCTCCTCTTCCTTCTATACTATCTGAAAACACTAGTGGCCGTACGCTGATCGATACCGGACAGTGTGGCAACACCTCCTTTCTATTCCCCCATACTCTCTCTAAGCAGTTACAGCCTGCGTGGATACGATAAGTTTGGCCGTGTTCTTCATCAATAGAATTGGACCGCTATTGAAATAATAGGCGGGTCGACGCGCGTTTATGGCGCGTTACGGAGAGTCGTGGCGCGACACCGCAAAAGTCTGAACACTTGCCAAATACCGATTTTACTTCCACGGCACAACCGGTTGAGTGAGAAACGTCGGGGGAAGGGCAGGCCCGATCGGATGCGTGATAAATGTTCGCCAGAATGCAACCTCCCCCCCCTGCAAGAATTGGGTGCCACAACTGGGAGCTCATATGAGAAGTGCGCTGGAACGGGGAGAACAAGGCCTCTAAGCTCCTAACTCCTTACAACTCCTTACCCACGCTCGTTCGCTATCTGCGGACAACGTGCCCGTCCGCAAACCTGACGTGTCTATGATCGCGCTCGTCGTAGCAGCATAAATAGCAGAAATCCCGACAAACTTAGTTTTCTTCGTCCTTATTGAATATATAAAGTTTCCGTTCCGAGCTGGTGAAGTTCCCAAGCAAAGGTAACCGTTGGCTAGAGCTCTTGCCTGTCCTGATTTCTTTGTATGGGGGTCTAAAGTGTGACTAGATGCGCTAGCATTTAAAACTTCAGCACCTCTTGCTGTTTTCAATTTTCCATTATCCATCTTCTCTCTTTATGATCTATGGGAATTACTGTTCCGTTCCAAAAACAGCCTGCCTTCACACTTCGGTTTACCTACTGTCGCGCAAGCTCTATTGGTTGGGATATCGCCAAATCGATATAATTTTTTACGCGATGAAAGGCATTCCGAAGTGTAAGATTTGCAATAGATGCAATATTTTACTTCTTTGAAGAAAGTTCAAAAGCTACCGGACGCTCCTCCACGGCTTCACTTCAATGTTGTTGTATTTTGTTTCATCACTTATTAGGCTTGGTTCATGGTCGGCGACCGACGAACACGTGATTGAAGCGAGTCGGCGATTAGGCGAGGTGAAGCGCAATTGGTATCGAAACAGATCTCATAGATCAAAGGACAAAAATAATGGCCAAAGCGCTCCAACTCCACCAATCACCCGAACGCTCGAATCGCGCAGTCGCCAGTCGTCGACTATGAACGCAGCCGTATTGTTTACTTACCACTCGACGTGCTTTACTTGTATAGACCAACTATTTGGCATTTGATTTGATATGTAGGACCTATGATCCAATGTTGTCATCCATTATGACATTTATTTTATTCCTGTGGTGGTTTTACTTTTATTTATTGAGTAAAGATTGAAGAAAATTTTTCTAAGGGTGTTGTGATGCCGCTAACCACTCCAAAGCGGCTCTCCGTCTCCCCCCCCCCCCAACCAATACTTAGGTCCAGAGCCCGCATGGTCGGTCGCGAAGGAATAAAAAGACAACCACTAGATCTTTCGAATTTTTCTATTATTTCTGGATCATTTC